ATGGAGAAAATTTATCTAGCAATTGCCTAGTAACATAACTAATAATATAAATTGATGATTAAAAAAATAAACTGCAGGCCAGGCACAGTGGCTCACACCTGTAATCCAGCACTTTGGGAGGCTGAGGCAGGCAGATCACGAGGTCAAGAGATGGAGACCATCCTGGTCAACATGGTGAAACCCTGTCTCTACTAAAAATACAAAAATTAGCTGGGCATGGTGGCATGTGCCTGTAGCCCCTGATACTCGGGAGGCTGAGGCAAGAGAATCACTTGAACCTGGGAAGGGGAGGTTTCAGTGAGCCGAGATCGCACCTCTGCACTCCAGCCTGGCGACAGAGCGAGACTCTGTCTCAAAACATAAATAAATAAATAAATAAATAGAATAAAAGAAAATAAACTACACTCTCCTTTGGATTTTGGATTGCGTATATGGATATATGGAATAATTCCAAGGGCTGTGAATATGAAGAGCAACCAGAGAGAACCTGCGCTGAAACTCACATGGTTTGTGGATGTGGATACCACAATGTGAAGAAAAGAGCCCTAAGACGTGGGTTTCATCTAGCTTCTTTCTATACTTTTCATGCTGGCTCTCAGTCCTAAAGCAGGTCACTCTCTGTGGTTATGTTTTCTCATCTCTAAAATGAAGGAATGAAGGTGTTAAATTTCATGCTATCTAAAACATTTCCAACTGTAAAATTCTCTTTCTAAGCTATTCTCATTCCAGCAGGAAATCATTTTGTTTTCATTTCTACGTATCTTTAATTTTAGATAATCTCACGCCTAGAAATGGTTCCATAAAAGGATAAAGTACTTGAAATCACTCTCTCTCTCATCTGTTTTTTTGTATACATAGAAAATGTCTGTTACCAGTGATTTCTGGGGTTGGGAAAGTGATTTTTACTTTTCTCTCTACTGCTGTGCTATTAGATTTTTTTAAAATAATAGCATACATTTATTAAAAATATGAAAACTATGCCCTTTTACTTTCTGGATTTCCAAGAATAGGACATATGAAGTGAAGTTAAATTAAGCTCATCAAAGATAAATTAACTTAAATTGTTATTTTGTTGATTGAATTTTTGTAGGTAGTTTTTGATAAAATGTTGGAAAATCATTTAAAGAGATGAAACACACCCTCATTGTTCCAGCTTCTTTGTGTAGATGATAGCAAGGTTTTATAAAAAGGAATATTCAATGAACTGTGTGTATATGAGTGACTTTGGATTTTTTCCAGTTTCAGTTCTCTTTCAATACATATTGAAAACAGCAGAGACCCAGGAATTCTTATCTAAGTTATGTGCCAAAACAAATGATCAGGTTACACCTGTTTGGCTTATACTACCTTGGAAACCACCGGGCTTAAAGCACTAGTTTGCTTTCAGGGAAACAATATAATCAACTCATGCTTTTTTAAATCAAATGAGTAACTGACTGGATCTCTTATTAATCTCCACATCTGTGTCAAGAGGTAAGTTAAGCTTATTTTTCTTACGATAGATTTTGTCTATTTAAAGGGAAAATTGCATTTCTTGTAATTGGGTAGTCATTACTTCTTTTTAAAAAGTTTCAGTGACAGAAGCTATCCAAATTATTGCAAATCTCATCATACTGCCGTTCAGTTTTGTGCCGCATCACATGTGCTCTTTCTGGATAAGCTGCCACGAAGTAAGGTTGCCTATGTAGAATGTGTGGTTGACTCTAAAGCTTTCAGAGAGTGTAGCTAAGAAAGAATGCCGGACCTGAGCAAAAAGTGTGAGGGCTGATGTGAATGAGCAGGACGAGGGGGCACAGAAGAGCAGTCCAGGACCCTCTAGGGACATTTTCTGTGTGGATGGAGGGCAACTTTAGCACTGTTTCTAATAGGGGATTCTCTAAAAATGACAATGCTTATACAGGAAATTTAAAAACCTTGCAAGTGGTGTGTATACACATATGTCAGCCTGTGTGGGTACTGTTCTTTCTACTCAGTATTTCATGGATTCCCAGTGTCAAAAATTATTTTTTTAAATATACAATTATTTACATGTATCAAACCTAAAACTGCATGTAGATTTATGGCTCTTATGCATCTACATTTACAAAATAAAAATTGAACATTACAAAACCAATACAATTAAAATAAAGTTTAGCAGACAGAAGATATGTTGCTGAAACTAAATCACTACTCATTGAGAGAACCAGCTACTGACTATAGAAGCCTGATTCTTTGAAGCTGGGCTCACCTGTTCTGTGGGCCAGGTGATGGCTTGTCTGTTGTCTACCACTTGTCTCCAATCAAACTACTAGTAGGCTTCATTCCTGCTGTACATCTACCCATCGTGCTTCATTTATTTGGCTTTCTCTTGAGCATACCCATTATGTGTTGTTTCTCATAGGCTGAAATAATTAAAGTTCTGGTACTTGGTTCCAGTATGATTTTAAGTACTATGTAAATGTTTTATGCAAAGGGCCAGATAGTAAATATTTTAGGTTTTGAGGGCCATCCTGTCTCTGTCGCAACTACTCCACACTGCAGTTCTAGCATGAAAGCAGCCATCAACAACAGTAAACATTTAGGCATGGCTGAGTCTCAAAAAGTGTTATTTACAAAACAGGTGGTGGACTGGATTGGGCCTGAGTGCTGTGTAGTTTGCAGAATGCTCATAAATATGAGTGCAGAAATGCTGACATCCTCTGGCAGTCCTGAAATACGAGCTGGTCATTCAGCTTTTTTGCTTTTCTGTTTGTTTTTTAAAAGCTTAGGAATATGAACGTACATATAAACTTCTTGTAGACACTTGAGAATATAACAACAAACCCTCAGGGGACCACAGATTGGGAAACAATGTTTTAGGGATTTTCCAAATAGGCCATCTTCAAAAATAAAAATGCCTCATTCAAACAGGGAATTAGAGTTTGCTAGCGTCAGCTGACACAACAGGACTCAGAGATGGAAAGATGCCTGTGGGAGGAAATAGTTTTCTTCAGGGGTTAGATGATTTGTATGCAAGGCAGAACAGAGTTATGAATGGACCAGAGAATCCAGCACTCAGGGGAGAGCAGAGACTAGCCATGTAGAACTAGGGTTCTTCTACTGCTGGATTTGCTAGTGACTTATTGGGAGTGTTGGATGAGTCTCCTACCTCTCTGAGTTTTTCAGTTTTTCCATCACTAAATTGAAGGTTGTACCATACATCCTGCTCACTACTGAAGATGAAGGTAAGCATTGGATGAGATGCTGTGAAATGCTGCAGAAATGGTCAAGTGCCCAAGGGTGAGCATTATTGTTACTAAGAGGTGAAAAGAGCTGGGTATGAAGGCTGACGGATTTTTCAGGGAGTGTCGCTGGCGTCTGCAAGGCAATTGGAAATCCAGTGCTCCTCAAACACAAGTTTCAAACCAGCACTTTTGGGGAATGACGAAGCAGCTCTCTGGCTCCCAGCAGTGCAAGGGCTTTTTGGACAGTATTTATGCAGGTAGCCTTGCCTGTCTTCCTCCCAGAGGCCAGCTTGACATTGCCTGAACCTCGCAGGAAGTAAAGCCTCCAGTGTTGGGCGAGAAGTTGCTGGTGTGGCAAAGCTCATACTGCAATAAAAGAAGAAAAGTGGGTTGCTCAACAGGGGTCTCAACAGTGTCACCACAATCAGAACTGGCACTCAGTTCCAAAAGTTCAGAAAGTCAGGCATATTGTTTACTCAGAGTTCAATCTATTCTAAGGGATTCATCCACATGAGCCAAGCCCAGGGACCTGATTTATAAAATGCATCTCCAGCAACTGGAACTCTTGTGTCTAATTTCAGGAGGACTTCCTTGCACAGCATAAACCATTTCAGCAAGAAAAAAATTATTACTCAGAAGGCTGCTTGCTAAATTGGCATAATGAGAATCAATTATTATGTGTAGCATCTGAAATTCAACATTTCCTGTGCATTCTACACTTTTATTTGCTTCATCTGGCAACTCTAGTTCCTTCTCTTAAAGAACATGTGGTCTGTAAAGACATTAATCACAAAACAAGTACATGATTACAACTTACAAGTGGCATGAAGGAAAAAAGCCAACATAATGAACAAGAATACCAAGGAAGACCTAATTTAGATTAGTGGGGTCAGGGAAAGCCACTCTGACTCAGATTAAGGGGACCAGAGTATTGTAGGAAGGAGGAACAGAATGGATGTACTGTGTAAAGGAGAAACCAGAAGAAGGAAAGCATGTCTGGAATTCAGTATCCTTTGGAGATATGCAAGACAAGGTTGGAGATGCAGGCATGGGCACAACTACACAGGCTTTTGTTGTCCAGATAAGAGTTTGGCCTTTTTCCCCCTACCCCCAATGCAACAGAAAACCATGGTAGGGCAGAGAAATGAGAATACACAGTCTCCATTTTAAAAGTTAATCTGAATGGATAATGGGTTGGAGGGGCAAGAACGAGAAAACGAGTGACAGCTAGAAAGCTGCTATGGTGTCTAGGCAGGAGATGAAGGTGGCTTGGATTAGAGTGGTGCAAGTGCAGATGAAAAGAGTGAAAAGTTTTGCTATGTATTTCAAAGGTAAAAACTTTGGCCTTGAATGTAGATTAGATGTGGGGTTTGAGGCAGAGAGAAGGATGAAGAATGACTTCCAAGTTTCTGGGTTCGACACTTGGGTGGATGGTGGTGCAATTTACTGAGGCAGAGAACACTGAGAAGGATCATTGCTTTGGCTGGGAGGCAGAAAGTGAAGAAAGTACTGGCAAGATTTCACTTCTGAATATTTTAAGTTTATGAGATGACATCCTAGTGGAGATGACAAGAAGGCAGCTGAAAGTCAGAGATGAGAGGTCTGCACTGGAGATACATGATTTGGGAACATTGACATATATGTAGAGGCAAGAAAGATTTAAAAGGATTCACTATATGATTTTTCTACATGGTAATCTTCCAGATGTCTGTTAATTGGCTTGCTTTGTAAACATTATTCTATAAACAGCTTTCTCCAATTGTTACAAGAACCAAATATATATGTATGAAAGAGTGATAGGTCTCTGATTTCATAGTGTTTCTTATTAGGTTTTCTTCAGATTTAATTTTTATATTCTTATTGTAAAGGATAAGAATGCCATTGTCTTTCCATCAGCAAAATATCTGAAAATAGGGGCCAGCAACGGTGGCTCATGCCTGTAATCCCAGCACTTTGGGAGGCTGAGGTGGGCAGATCTTAAGGTCAGGAGTTCGAGACCAGCCTGACCAATATGGTGAAACTCCGTCTCTACTAGAAATACAAAAATTAGCCAGCCATGATGGCAGGCACCTGTAATCCCAGCTACTCGGGAGGCTGAGGCAGGAGAATCGCTTGAACCCAGGAGGCGGAGGTTGCAGTGAGCTGAGATTGCACCACTGCACTGTAGCCTGGGCAACAGAGTGAGACTCCATTTGAAAAAAATTTTTTTTAAATAGGATGGACATTTATCAGATAAGTCATAATTATGACATTTGATGCCATCATCCTCTGATTCTATTCAAAGATCAGTCACTTTTTTTTGTTGCCTTTCTTTTAGCAACACAGTATCTTACCTTCCTTCTACCTCTAAAATGCCCAACAAGGTACTTTCAAATGTTCAGTAAGATTACATAAATATCCTCTTGAGTAATATGGACAAACGCCCAGTGATACATGTCATGGGGAAACATAATATTTTTTTCCTTTTTAATCTTTGGGGCTTTGTTTTAATAATTCATAAAGACATTAACGTTTCCGGTAGGCTTAAGAATCCTTTTTATTTAATACAATTTTGTTTGTGTCCTGAAAACAAGGACATTGAAGTATTTATTCCCTGCTGAATAGGGCATTGTGTACATGTAGCTTTGTTTTCCCTGAAAATACCTCTTAGCCTTCATGTGCCTTCTCAGGGCTCTGGAATGTGGGCTTGCTCTATATTGCTTCCTCTGTAAGAGAACATGTATTATGCTCCCAACATGCATGCTGTTGGAACATCTCAGTTTTCTTAACTCCCTGTTTCCCCTCACATCACCATTTCCATGATTCTCTTTTGGCTGAGTCTATGCAGAAAACAAGTAGTATTAATTATTGTAATAGGAAACACGAGCTGAAAAGGCAAAGCTTTCACCTGAGAAATTATAAAGTAAATTAGTGGCAGGCCTGGAGCTCTAGCCCATATCTACTGGTTATGGTAGAAAGTTTAAAAAGTGGCTCTCGACTGGGAAGATTTTGTCTCCTCTCTCCCGGGAACATTTGGAAATATATGGAGACATTTTTGGTTGTCACAGATGGTAGGGGAGCTGGTTTCTAGCTGCTAGCAGCCAGAGATGCTGCTAAACTTCCTACAATGCATAGGACAGCTGCTGAAACAAATAATTAATCAACCCAAAATGTGTATGGTGCGAATGTTAAGAAACCTTGCTGTCAGATAATGGAAATTAGACTTGAGCCCTGCTCTCCATCTTACTTTGTGACCTCGAGAAAGTGGCTTCATTTCTGAGTCTGCCTTTTCATTTGCAAGAACAAAACCACCACCATCATAAGGCAAACAAAGACAAAAAACAAAACAAAACAAAAAACCACCTTTCGGAGTGGTTTTGAGAGATCAATTCAAAAGCACAGAACAGAGTTCTGAGCATATCATGGACCCAACAAACAATGAATCAGGCCCATCCCACGGAGTTCAATGATAAGATGGAAGCAGTCAGTGCCAGAAAGAAAATGTCACTGAAATGAAAAAGAAGGCTCTTCAGATCCTTATTAGCTTTTATTGGGAAAAGAGCAAGAGATGCAAAGAAGTTTAAGAGAATTAAATAGCATCGAGGATGTACTAGGTGAGGGGAGGAGATGATGAGACTGGAAATAGAACCTAGTGACAGAGTCGTAGGAGTGATGAGATTTCAGCAGTGACCTGGAGATGGATTTGAGATGCATTTAGGAGGAATCTGAAGAACTTTGTGGACAATTAAAAAAGGGTTATGAGAGAGGAGTCTAGGATGAATATGAGATTTCTGATGGGTGCTTTGATGTTGGTGATGCCATTCAATAAGAATGAAATCGAAGGGCAAGGAAAAGAACAAATTCAGTTGTAGATGTATCAAGTTCAGAATTCTTGTGGGACATTTAGAAGATCACCACGAGGCAGGGAACTATGTAGGTTTAGGGAGAGTCAGGAAGGTGAAAGCAGAAGTCGAATCCATGGGGATGAGTGAAATTTTCTAGGGAGAGCATGAAGAGTAAGAAAAGAGCAAAGGACAGAATTCTTAAGAGCTGGACAACAAAAACGAAGATGAAAGAATCAGGAGGAGTGAAACAAGAAGAGAGGGTAGAGTGGTGTAGAACTCAAGTCTGAAGAAGTTTCAGGAACACAAGTGCAGGCAACAGTGTCAAATGTCACAGGAAAATTACATAAAATTCAAGTGTCCACAAGATTTGGCAGTTGCATGACGGTGCTAACTTTAGCATAAATGTTAAGTACCATGATGAACAGAAAACCTAGACTTAATGAGTTGAGGAGTAAATAACAGTTGAGGAAGTAGAAATGAGGGATAAAGGAAGAAAGACTGTCAGCAAGATAAGCTATGAAGATTCTCCCTCTCCCCCACTAAAAATGGACACTTAAGCATATTTGTAGGCTGAGAGGAAGGAGACAAGGGAGATTGAAGACCACAGAATACAAAACAGGGAAAACTGACAGATCAAGAATGGGATATAGAGTGTGAATGATTATTTTGGGGCAAGAAGAGGGAGACTCTCCCTCCAAACTGGGTAAAGAAGGTAAATTGGGTGTGAATATGTCAGTCTGGAGGGTGAGGGAGAGGAAGTTTGTATTGGAGAGCTTTACTTTTCATTATCAAATTGGTGGCAAGCTGAGCTGCTGATATGGGATATGCGAAACAAGAGGAAGTAGGAGCAGGTAATAAACCTCAAGGATTGGGAGGGGCATTAACGAATTAGAGAAAGTGAGTAGAGACTACAGCGTCAACAATCTGGCATGTGAAGGACATCTCAAGATACCAGGATCACCTTGATATTCATATCTAATTATCTTCATATGAGTAACATGACCCATCCATCTTTAGAGGGAAGCAATAAACCAGAAAGATTTTGCCAACCACAGAATTGTTTGCAAATGGGGTAGTGGGCAGTGGGGTAGATGACCAACCAAATCTCAAATTAAAGTGGACATGGGATTAATTATGTCCATGGACCAGTTGTATCATCTCCTTATAGGTAAGCATATCCTTCGGGATTCTTGGAGAGCCCTAAACCACCAGAGTTGTTGTAATGCAGAAATTGTAATTTATCTTACATAATCCCTCAAATAGTAGAAATGATCTGTAGAATAGAAGTAAATGAATCCTGATGAAATTGTTTTATTTTGCAGAGTCTTGCCTTCTTTTGAGCCTAAGTCATGAGTTGGATGTTCCTCAGAGATCTCCTGAGTGGAGTAAATAAATACTCCACTGGGATTGGACTGATTTGGCTGGCTGTCGTGTTTGTCTTCCGTTTGCTGGTCTACATGGTGGCAACAGAGCATGTGTGGAAAGATGAGCAGAAAGAGTTTGAGTGCAACAGTAGACAGCCCGGTTGTGAAAATGTTTGTTTTGATGACTTCTTCCCCATTTCCCAAGTCAGACTTTGGGCCTTACAACTGATCATGGTCTCCACACCTTCGCTTCTGGTGGTTTTACATGTAGCCTATCGTGAGAGTAGAGAGAAAAGGCACAGAAAGAAACTCTATGTCAGCCTAGGTACAATGGATGGTGGTCTATGGTACACTTATCTTATCAGCCTCATTGTTAAAACCGGTTTTGAAATTGGCTTCCTTGTTCTATTTTATAAGCTATATGATGGCTTTAGTGTTCCCTATCTTATAAAGTGTGATTTGAAGCCTTGTCCCAACACTGTGGACTGCTTCATCTCTAGACCCACTGAGAAGACGATCTTCATCCTCTTCTTGGTCATCACCTCATGCTTGTGTATTGTGTTGAATTTCATTGAACTGAGTTTTCTGGTTCTCAAGTGCTTTATTAAGTGCTGTCTCCAAAAATATTCAAAAAAACCCCCAATTCCTCAGTGTGTGAGTGCCACAGCCTCAGACATGTTGAATGTGGTAGGAGAGGGACCCTACTCCAGAATCATCATTCACACTTGGCCATAAACATACTCCCACCACCTGAAGCAAAGCTACTTGGTGACACACAAGAGGGTTACACAAAGAAAACCTGCATCCCTCCTCAGCAAGGCCTAAGCTGAGTTGGAAGACAAAGCATGTCAGCCTTAGTATCATTTGGGAGGATTTTTTTTACATTGTCAATATGCTTTCAGTTATGAGCACTAGACAGAGGTCTCATTGTTTTGTTGTAGGGTTCTCCAGTATGTGGATAACATTAGTTGTTTTAGAATAGGTAATTGCAAATTAGTCTGAAGAAATCTAACAGGATTCTTTTAAGAGCTTAGATTTTTCAACAAAAAACAAAAAAAGAAACCCTGTGTCAGTTTTCTGTTTTTTCTAACTATCTCATTACAATTTGTGCACAATGAACTGGAAAACATAAAAAGTGACACTTTAGACAAATGTGATGGCCTTCGAGCTGAAATGAAGGAACTGGCAATCTTTCCAAAGTGGCAGCCAAGGCCCCACTCCCTGTCCTACTCAATCTCTGTAGGGAAAAACTGTGGGATAGGACATTAGCCAGATGGAGACACACAGAGGAACATTCAACAGGAAGATCTCCAGGCCTTTTTCCGATTCAGGGATCCTTGGATGTAAGAGGACTAGAGGAGAGGGAGGAAAGCTATCATTTCAGTGGTCTCCAAATTAAGTACAAATATTACTGGGAGGTATCCCACTTAAGCCTGAACCAGCAGATGTTCAAAAGGGTCACTCTAGAGTCAGAAAGGCAGGTCCCCCAGAAGGCAACACATTGATAGGAAATGGAGGCCACAGAAAAAGAATGTGCCCACTTGACAATTACTTAAGATTTCTATTTAACCAAAAGAACATTGAAATACTTTGTAAATATTCATATTGTTGAATCTTTCATAATCAGGAATTCCCTATGTACTATATAGTATGTATGTCCCAGTTTGCCTATAATTTAGTAGTATATCTCCCTCTAGGACAAACAGTAAAATGTGTACTATGTTGTTACAGTGGTGCAAAAATGTTTAAAAAGTTTATCACCTGTTTTGAAGACTAGAACTTTCTTTACTTTTCTTTTTCTAGAAATTCACAGATACATTCTCTTTGGATTTAATACTCTAACATATATACACTTCTTCAGAATAAAAATAAAGGTATTTCACAATGTTCTTTGGCTGTCATTGGTATCTTTGCTAGACTGTAGTGGGTATGATTACTCTGTGAAATAAAACATGTTCTGACAACTTTAGAACAGGATTTGCAACACTGCTTGGTAAAGATAGCTCAGAAATTCTTCTTCTCCCTTGGGAATTTAACAGAAAATCAGGGCATAAAAATGTAATTTAAACTAAAGACCAATTATGTCTTCCATGCCTTGCCCTCTTCAGAATATAATCTCATTACAAGTCATACGCAATGAGGGTTATTTGGGTGATTACGTGGTCTACAGACTATGTCAGCAGCAGTGGTCATTATCTCTATCTTAAAGACTGTGTTCTAGACAATGGAAAGAAAGGTGAAATTTGTGGTTTACCCCTTTTTTCAATTTATAAGACAGGTCACTGCTGGACTTGAGCTTACAACCATGTACTTTATCATTGAACATGAAAACATCTACCCTGCACGAATGCAGGTAATTATGAATTTTGTGTATGTGTGACAATAATAGGTGGTTAGAAGAAATTTAAGGTTTTTGAGACCCTGATCGTGGCACAGAATCTAGAAAACAGGGTTTCAGAATGCAGAACTGGAATGGAAACAAGGGATTTTGTCAGTCTGAGGATGAGTTTGATGCCAAAAATGTTTTGGGGGAGCTCAGTCTCTTCATACCAGTTATGGCAAGTTCTGCCTAAGCAAAAAAGTCCAACTGCTTGGCCATATATTCTTTGCATTTCCACTTTGTATAGAAAAGAAACTGAAAGGTAATGTGAGCAAGGGTAATGGCAGCGTAGATGTTTAAATAGGAAGGTGAGTGATTTTTGTTCCTTGAGTCTTGCTGGTAGTACCTTAATTCACAAGTAAGTTTCCTATGAGAACATTCTGATGACTTTCTTGGGGTCAGTGAGGACCCAAAGTATTTGATTGAAATTGGCAGTTAATTTGTATCATATTTATTGTTTCTCTTGTTGGTAAATTAATATTTATTGAGCACCTGGGAGCAAGACACTGTGCTATGTACCTCCCAAGATTTAATGCATAATTCCTGCTCAAGAAAATGTCCACTTCTGTTAAGGGTCATGGAGGATGGAGTATCTTACACCTGTGTCTTGGTCTCATTGGCCCACCTCAACTGTTTCACCCTGAAACCTTCTGGTGCCCATAGAGCAGACAGTAACCTTGGAGATAAGGAAAAAGCAGTCACTTTTCTTCAGGGACATGCAACTAGTACAGGCAGACTGAGCAATCAACCATAGGTCTTCCCAGATCACTAAACAGAGGTCTCCCTAATTTCATTTAAGCCACTCCCAGCTTGCAGTGATTATTCTGACTGCTCCGCACTTGTCCCATACTCTTTCTAGTTACAGACCTTGTTCCTGGCCACAGGAGTTCTCATTAGAGCTGGCAGGAAATGTTTTCAAGCACTTGTACAAAAGAATGCCCAGAGCTCTAAGTGGTTGTAGTTCCAGTCTTCCCAGTGGAATGAAGCCAATCTAAAAACAAGACTGTGAAGATGAGAGAGGAGGGGGAAAAAGGCAAAGACTTGAGGATGTTTGAACTCCTCAATACCATTGTCCCTGAGCCTGGCTCTACTTCTAACCTTTCTGTGGTTAGTCACATGAAAGATAAATTCCTTTTTCCTTAAGCTGGTTCAAGTTGGATTTCTGTGTCTTGTAACTGAGAGTCCCAATAAAGCCACATTCTTCATAAATTTATTTCCTGTATAATACAAAATTTTAATAATTTAAAAGCCTATAGTACCCTGCCTCTCCTTATTCTAGCTCATATCTCATCGCATACATGTAATGCTTTTCTTAAATACTGATGCCATTTGTTTCTAGTTTGTTTGTATATTTAACACTGCACAGAGCACAAAAGTGAGGAGCACTTCATAGCTCTTTAAAAGACTAATTAGAGGGCAAGTGCAGTGGCTCATGCCTGTATTTCCAGCACTTTGGGAGGCCAAGGCAGGAGGATCCCTTGAGCTTCGGAATTCAAACTTGAGGTGGGCTATGATCGTGCCACTTACTGCATCCAGCCTGGGTGACAGAGCAAGACCCCGTTTTTTGTTTTTTTTGTTTTTGTTTTTTTTTTTTTTGAGATGAAGTCTTGCTTTCTCCCCCAGAGTGGAGTGCAGTGGTATGATCTTGGCTCACTGCAACCTCCGTCTCCCAGGTTCAAGTGATTCTCCTGCCTTAGCCTCCCGAATAGCTAGGATTATAGGCACCCACCAACATACCCGGCTAACTTTTTTATTTTTAGTAGAGACGGGGTTTGCCATGTTGGCCAGGCTGGTCTCGAACTCCTGATCCACCTGCCTCAGCCTCCCAAAGTACTGGGATTACAGGCCTGAGCCACCATGCCTGGACAAGACCCTGTATTAAACAAAACAAAAACTAATGAGGAAAGAAAGCAGCAGTGGTGGAGCACGTAGAGGCAAAACGTGTCAGAATTCAATTCAATTTTTATGACAAAAGCCCAAGGAAGGTGTTCTAGGTCTAGAAATATCTGCCAGAAGCACTTTCTCTAATATAAATCGGGCTTCTTTTCACAAAGCAAATCTTCCTTTGGCTGTAAAAGATATTGGTGACTGTGAGGAGCTCTGAGAATTTTCCACAGACCCATCTTGTTTCCCCAGTGTTAGTCTAACTAACAACTTTCTGAGATATCTTTTAAAAATTCTATAATGTTCCCAAATATTGTTTGAAAGCAAAGTAAAATGAGTTCTGGATTTTACTGACATAGGTCAATATTCCCATCTATTTAAAGGTGAAGTATCAAATCCTTCCCCGGCTACAAAGAATTTTTAATTTTTTTTTCTATTAAAAAGGAAAAATGGGCTGGACGCAGTGGCTCACGCTTGTAATTCCAGCACTCTGGGGGGCTGAGGCGGGCAGATCACGAGGTCAGGCGATTGAGACCATCCTGGCTAACACAGTAAAACCCTGTCTCTACTAAAAATACAAAAAATTAGCAGGGCGTGGCGGCGGGCGCTTGTAGTCCCAGCTACTCAGGAGGCTGAGGCAGGAGAATGGCGTGAACCCAGGAGGCGGAGCTTGCAGTGAGCGAAGATTGTGCCACTGCACTCCAGCCTGGGCGACAGAGCAAGAAAAAAAAAAAAAAGGAAAATGTTGTTCAGAAGAAATATGTAATTTCTGTTAATACTTTATCTCAAAAAACCTTCAGATAGTAATGCCTCCTGTCAAAGTAAAGAGAGAGAATGGTTGTTGTGTAGAATTGGGGATGAATCAATCACAGGACACTGAAAAAGTGGACTTGATTCCTCTTCTTTTGGAAAAGGTCACCATTAAACTCCGTGCTGTGGATTGGGGCCAGAGCAGACAAATATTAAGCAATACAACTACCATATTGTTGGTATAAAAATGTTAACAAAATAGATAAGTAACCTCCTGTGATTAAAAGAGGTATTAATCACTAGGTTAGCCATGAGTTTTCATTCATGTTTATCTCAAAGAAAAGTGCAGTAACTTGAGATCTGACTTTCTGTGGAAGATAAGCAAACCTGATAAACCAATCCTCTTAGAGATTGCTCCTAATTACATTAATTTGATATTTAAAATGACTGTGACTACGATCGACTTTGTCTTATTCATCTCTTTATACCCCTATATCCCCATAGGTTAGGTTCCTTTGTGCTTAGGAACTCAAAAGTTTCTTGGAAAAAAACGTTGTGTTCCTCTTCCCTCTCCACTTAACCCTGATTTTGTTGGGGATGTCAATGTGCCCAGCTAAAAAGGTATATTTTAAATTCTCCTCTGCATGTAGAGATAGCTGTGTGACTATCTTCTTGTCAAAGCAACAGGGTGCTTCGGGGAAAGTTGCGTAAAAGTGTGCTGACCTAGTTTGCACGCATCTTTTTCCCGACGCCCACTCCTTCCTGCCCGAAACATCATAGCTTAATGTTGCCGGGAACATCTTTCTGCCATGAGGTGACTCTGAGGATGGATGTGAGACCTTCTGAAGAAGACAGGCAGGCTTCTGGGCCACTGATGCCATTATGAAATTGCCTTATCAGCCTCGAACTGCCTATTCTCCTACTGTCTGCTTGTTATTATGTGAGAGACAACTTAACTCCTACCCGATGTAAGTCACTAACTCGTTAATTTCTTTCTCTTTTTTTTTTTTTTTTTGAGACGGAGTCTCGCTCTGTGGCCCAGGCTGGAGTGCAGTGGCGGGATCTCAGCTCACTGCAAGCTCCGCCTCCCGGGTTTACGCCATTCTCCTGCCTCAGCCTCCCGAGTAGCTGGGACTACAGGCGCCCGCCACCTCGCCCGGCTAGTTTTTTGTATTTTTTAGTAGAGACGGGGTTTCACCGTGTTAGCCAGGATGGCCTCGATCTCCTGACCTCGTGATCCGCCCGCCTCGGCCTCCCAAAGTGCTGGGATTACAGGCTTGAGCCACCGCGCCCGGCCTCGTTAATTTCTTTTACTTACTGCTCCAAACAGTTCCAGAGTACATTCACATTAGTGACTAGGATGAAGACACAGAAGGCATGCCTGTATCAACTGAAGACAAAAGAAATGCCTAGTATTTGAAACATTTAAAAAATTGAATTGAAACATTTAAAACTGAAACATTTATAAAACCTCAGCAGGGGAGAATTTTGTGCAGAATTTAAGTCAGGTGAAATGGAACAAGCAATCATTCTGCACCAAGATTTAAGATTTTAATATGAGACCGAGATGATATTAGTTCACAACTTAAATACCTTGGAATTTTAGCTGTCCACCACCTTAACATGAGCAAAGTATAGTATGAGACTTTTTTTTAAAGTTCATTTATACCTGTATTAACAAAGGTTTGTGTCCAGACTACAGTGAATTATTTTCCCAATGCTTCAAAGACAAATAGCTTATTTTGTGTTTCAAAGTTGTAGAACCAGGATCAATGGCTGAAAATAAGAGAAAAAGATTTTTAACTAATATTGGAAAGTTGTATTAATTTGAACTGCCTCAATAAAATGGTTGCCAAATAAAGTGATGAGATTC